TGATGCCGATATATGTCTTCGTTTCGCTGCTGAATCTATTTCTGAGGTATGCGAAATGGTTCTGTTTGGATTCGTTTGTCGACTCTTCTGTTTATTGCGTCGTGAATCGTCGTGTCTTCAACAAAGGCGTTTGATCTATGCTTAGTCAAAACGGTTCAAAGCGGTCGGAATTTAGAAGTGGTGCTGGATTTTTTAATGAGTAAAAATTCTCGAGACGACACGGATTCATGGGAATTTACTGCTATTCAGCGATTTCAAATGATAGAGTTCGTAAATTTATTTAGAAGCATAGCAGATTTGATTGCTTGTGTCACATTGTTTATTTATTTATTTATTACCTCAGCCCAATTGAGATGAAATTTTTGAATGTTTTGAGGTGAATTTTCGTTCGTTATTTCGTTCGAAAACAGTCGAAGTTCAGGAGGTGGATCCTTGCGAGGTGATAACGGATGTGGCTGAAGTGGTGAAGCAGATGCCTGGTATTGCTGGTGTTACGCCGATAACGAATGCAAAGGTGCCGATNAATATTATTAAGACAACGTTAACTCGATATCGTACTGGTATTTAGCTTGATATTGAAAGTATATCCATGCTATGTTTGATAAAGTCAGATCGTAAATAAAGTCAGTGAAAAATGAATTTTCGTGCAACGTTTCGTTGCAAACAACAATTGTGTGCGTAATGAAGAATGAATGAAAGTGTGGCGTTGCAGTATATCGTTGTACAATGTACTCGCATTGGAGAATACTCGTTTGTTGCGATCGTATAGTGAACTGGATGAACGTGCTCGAATACTGGGCATATTTGTGAAGGAATGGGCGAAGAGGTGTGAGATTGGAGATGCGTCCAGGGGCAGTCTTTCGTCGTATTCGATTATCGTCATGCTGATACACTTTCTGCAAAGGTGCAAGCCGCCTGTTCTGCCGTTTCTTCAAGAGGTGCCTCGCACATCCATCATTTCGTTTGTATCTCCCAGTTTAACCTCTTTCCTATTGTTAGTGAATCGTTTTCCTGTGTTTGTTTCTATAAAACACTTTTCGAGGAAAATTTACTGAATTTCTGATTCTTTGGAAGATACATCCGAAATTTATTCAAATAATCACTATTGCGTACGTATTTGTTTGGTTGTGATTACAGGAATAAATTTGCTTCATTTCAGCAATATCATA